AGGATTTGACCTGAGAGCACATGGGTCGAATTCGGCTCACTCGGGGGAAGTGGTTCTGACACAGCTGTCTGATTTTCTGTTCAACCTGGATACAGGTGGTGAGGGGGTCAACCGGATGAGATTCAGTGGTGAAAGTGCAAAGTGTGTTCATGACTTCAGTTTCGAAGGTGAGCCAGTTCTCAGTCTGTGACTGATATTCAAGCCTCAGTCGATGGCGGTCGATCGAATTAATCGGTGGGTGTTGACGGGGAGGTGCAAACCATTTCGGTAAGGACATGACAAGTGGATGATGGACTGGTGCATTGCTGCCAATCGTTCGTTCGAATTGGGTCAGTACCTGTGCACGATGTTTAGTCCATTGGACTTGATGGCGACGAACGAACATAAAGTCGATTCGACTAGAGTGGTCCCCGTGTTGGAAGGTTGGTTTCCACTGATGTTGACAGTAAACGGCAACCAGGTCCAAATCACGAATCAGGTTTTGAAAGTCCTGCTTATCACATTGAGAAGCCATGCCATACTTAGGGTCACGTGAATGCACATAAGGTGCGTCAGCAGTAAGAGGTGTGTTGCAATCACCTGCAAATAACAACATGTGACTCTTAGGAACATAAAGACTACATTGACGGATGGCTTCAAAGACCTAAAGTCTATCATGTAGAAGGATTTGACGTTCCTTCGATGAACTCCATGAGTGCTGATAAACACAAATGATGTCGTGGATTCGGGATAGATGCAATCGAACCGAACATGGATGAGCCGGCCTGGGCACAATTCACTCCAAGTTGATCTGGACGCAGCAGTCGTCTGCGGATCATACAGAGAACTGTGGCTCGATAGCCATGGGAATGCAGCATGTACCAGTCACCAGAAACCTATTAATTGCTAAATCGCCAGCCAGTTTCTTGCAGGACAGCAACGTCATACGAAGTCTGAGTGAGCCAGGTCACCCATTCATCCAGTAGGAGCCCTTCCAACAAAATATATTCAAGGAGTCTGTCGTCCGGGTCATCGAGTTGAAGGATCCCACCTTCGTAGCTGGAATATTAGATTCATAATTCAGCTGTTGTCGAATCCGGAAGGGGATGTTGGAATACCAGAAATCCTTTCCACGATATTGTATGCATCCGTACTTATATGCTCGTTTGCATGCTCGATAAAAGCTCCTCATGATTCTTTTACATCTAGATGGATCCACAATTAGGCCGTAGCCTGACATCGCCCAAACCTCGTGTATTTTCGTGTCAGGCCGCTTGTGAATCGGTACGTCGATAACACTCTCACCACCAAGCGAGGTCTTGGTGGTAACCTTCGCGCCAGGCATGGATTGACCACCTTAAATAATAGATGGAAAGGATACCATACCCCCAGGATTTAGGACCTAGTGTTTCAGCGGTGCAAAAATCAAAATCAAAGTCAAAAGCAACCAATAAATCTTCATTGAAGGATTCCAAAACAATCGTGCTCCTAAAAAGGAATAAAAGACATGTGCACGGAGAAGTACGAAAATGGCTGCCGGGCTTGAAGTTAAGATGGCGCTTAAAAAACGGAAAAAAAACCGGACATTAATAACGATAAATCTAAAATACAAATAAATAAAAACGCTATATAACCAACGAAAAAAAAAACGAAAATCAACAATAATAAATCTAAAAAATACATAAAATATTACATCGTCAATAATTACAAATCTAAACAACAAATAAATAATAAACGAATACCAACAACAACTCAAAATACCGACACATCTAAAAAACCATTATAAATCCTCCCTATAGGTTATTTTTAAAATAAAGAATATTACGTAACAAAAAAATATACATTTACCCGCCTATCAATATATATATATATATTTAAATATAAATAGACCATATATTAATTCAATCCAAAATATAATCGATTTCCAAACAATCCTAACATCTTCTTTATTCTTTTCTTTCTTATCAAACTTATACCTTTCTCATTCAGAAGCCTTAATTTAATACCTACATATATAAATCTCTAAATTCTATATCCAAATCAACTAAATTCGGCCAAAATTACCAACAAAAAACCGACAGCATAAATCAATAAAATACAGAATTTATCTCTCTATCTATCGATTTCTTTATCTATCTATTTCTATATTTATATATATATATATCGGACTATATAGGTTTAGATATATGTCTATCTATCCGTTTATTTGCACCGGCAAGCCGGAAAAATGTTCGATACATATAAGTGCTACGAGAAGCATCCACTCAACCAAAAACATGGTGCAAGTACAGTTTTTGCTAGGAAGCAAGAACCTTATATAAATATGTAGTCAATTTCGCTTGCATCCCCGCCAAAAGCCAATCCAATTCATGGCGTTAGTTGTATTCTACATTCGGCTCTCTATGGATTTCGTGAGTTGCGGATTGTCCTGAATCTCGTATCCTATATGCGGTCTGGGCTGTATTTCTATCCCCCATTCGGGTGCTCAATGCCCATTGTCCAAGTAACCTCCAAAGCCATTGATGATGCTAATGATGCACTGCTCGACGTCCATTGCATCACTCGCATCACCAGACCCCATGTTCACTGCATTTCTGACCCTCGCTTTGGAGCGCTCTCCCCCACCAAGCTCCGGGTTCACCCTCTCAAAATGTGCCTCTCCCTTAACTCACTTCGTTCGCTCTAAAAGCTCAAGCCTAGCCTATCGGCTGGCTTTCGTAATATTCTATATATTAAATATATTTATCTTCCTTGATATAAACCTTCCTTCATACACCAAATCGATAAGTCCGGCAGGCTCCTCGGGGCCGCAGGGAAATGTCGGGACGCGAAAAAAGAAAGCGCAAATTCGCTTCAGGGAACCCGCATCCACATGTCAAACAAGAAAATCACTCATTTGAACCCCAGAAAAGCCCCTTCTTTCATGTGATCGCTCATGTCAAACACTTCCCAATGTCACCCCATGTCCATATCTTCTGCAAAGCTTCTTGTCTTCGACAGCCATTGCCTCTTGATGTAACTTCATGGTGTCACTCACGCACTCCTCAGCGCTCTGCGCGCGCGCCGTGGACACCGAGACATCGCTTGCTTTTAACGTCCGTTTGAGTCGGCTTGGGCGGATGATGAGCTCCCAGAAAAGGGCCAACAGGTTTCCACTCCCCTCTTAAAGCCGATTTTCACAGGACTGCGCGGCTACTTCTATAAACTCTCCAGTCAGAGCTTGCAGATCTATTGGTGGTTCATTTTCTTCTACCCTCTCCACTTCCACCATCCCTCACTACCTCTTCAACTCTCCAGCTCATCCAAACACAGGCAATCATTTACCACTAGAGTCTTGTGTCTGAAGCTGCAAATCCCATGGACCCACTCGGACTTCTCGGCCGAAAGCCGCCCTCCCCCTTCGCTCCTCCACGGTGACCTCCTGACGATTATAGTACTTGGGGCTGGTGGTGCCAACAAATCCAATGGCTCCTCCAAAGAAGAACTTGAAGCAATCACTGCAAGTACCGCTGAGGTTCTCCTTAGGATTGCTGGCAAGCGGCAGCGCAAGCTGCTGGCAAACCGAAAAAGGAGGAACAAACCGAGTGAACGACACGTGTGGAGGTACATGTTCGGTGCTTTGGGCGAGAATAAACAACAAGTTGGAACCACGGCCTTCATGGCTGAGTATCCCAGTAACCAGAAGGTAGTAGGGGCTCCTGGCATCGCTACTAGGAGCAAGGACGCTACTAGGGGCTCCTGGCCGTACTACTAGGAGCAAGTAGCTACTAGTAACAAGAAGCAAGCCATTTCAGCGCCCCCTCAAAAGAGGTTACAGTACAGAATGTTCCTGACGTGGAATCTATTTGCTGCCTGGCTAAATTTTAACCAAAACACACAACGAGGCAAAGAAACAGCCTTCACTCCATCATGAACCGGAGACATGTCTAAGTTGGGAACCTCAAGTCAGAGCCATCCCACTCAGCCAAGATTGATCGAGACCAGGAAATCCAAAGTGCTGAAGAACACTGCGAACCGAAGCAGTGTAACAACAACAACAACAACACCAGCAGCAGCAGCAGCAGCAGCAGCAGCAGCAACAGCAACAGCAACAGCAACAGCAACAGCAACAAACGAACGAACCATCTGCGATGCAGTGCAGGTGTCTGGCTCGCGACAGACCGTCTTGACGTCCTCGTACATGAGGCCCTGGATCCAAAACGCTGCGAGCGTCGCACTCCTAAGACTCCCAAAGAAACATCTGAAACAACATATGACCAGGACCGTCCTGTCTGGTGTGCCCATGCCAATGGACTTTCTGTCTTCACTACTTCAATTGCCGTCACCGTTGGGGTCACCCATTGACACCCCGATCGGAGAGGGTCCCGTACCAAAGGGCGTGGCGCGAAAAAGGCGCCCGTGGCGGAGCCCGGTGGCGAGCGCGAAAAGGCGCTGCCCGCTGCCCCCAGACATCCCGCTGCGAGCGACCGGAGCAAAGCGGCGACCACGGAAGATCCATTCCGAATCGAACGTCGCCGAAGGCCGGAATCTCTTCATCCGGTCTGAAGAGTCAAGTCCCATCCTGAGAACAAGGCGACAAGTCCTGATGATATAATACGTCCTGTGTCCGTTGTGGCAAGAATCAAGGGTCAGCATGAACAAACATCCTACAAGTAGTTTTGGTGTTCATTTCATCCCACTCATATGCAGCTCCCATCCCATCCTGGAGGGTCCTTTTTCGGGGCCCCCTTTGCAAAACACTCACACGGGTCCTGGGGCGTCACCAACGGTGCACCTCACACCTTCGAGGCTGTTGACCCCATTCTGATGATGTTGGAGGAAGATAGAATGTGGGTTGGAAAGAACAGTAAAGAGCCCCCAGGAAACTGGTCCTGTAGTTGGATTGTTCCATAGTCTACCTGCCTACTACTACAGGATCATTATATAGTATCATAAAATATACGTTTAAATTTGTTTTTGCTTGATTGATGGAATTCCTTACCGCCCATTCTTGCACACGTTCATTCTGTGACAAAGGCCTCTTCTTTTCGACCCTTCGCATCCAATAGCTCCTGTTGAGCCAAAGTGATTGACTCGGGACGTGTTGGCTGGAGCACAGGCGAAGATTCCGAGATGGACTGGTTCCAGCCACAGAAATGGTGAATTGGCATGGATACATAAATTCAGAAAAAAGACCAAAGACCTTGTCCCTTTGTGGAACAAGTGAATCAGTCTTTGCCAAGTCTCCCCAAGGTCGGCATTGGAAGAGGATAGAAGAATTTCTGAAGCTTCATAAGTTCCATTCTTCAACAGAGACTTACTATATATATCTCTTGAGTGGCATCCGCTGTACTAGTAAAAGATCCGTTGCTTCTTGTTGAGTCGAGCCGCCCAACTCGGCCTCCGAAGCTGCAGATACTCCTGGACGGACTGAGGCAAATCCTCCGAGAGCACTTCAGGATGCTCGTGTGCGAAGTTACGACAGGCCAACTTGAGCTTTGGAAGATCCTTCAGCACGGCACTTTCAGAGACGTCCGCAAAGTTCTCGACGTTCAAGGCACCTGCCACTGGTGTTTCGAGCATCTCAACAATGTGAGTGATCTGCCAGCGGTGTGCCAGATCCAAGGCTGGGAGAGCAAAGCTGTTTGAGAAGACTTTGCTGCTGGCACCAGTGTAAAGGAGTTCAAACATGAAAGAGAGAGCCTTGGTTGGCACATCCACCGCGATCCGTTTACTCCTTGCTTCCTTCATATTCGATGACAACATGGATGCAACCACTGGAGACACGCACGCAAGGAAGGCGGCATGTGCAGTGACCTCTCCATCAATAGCTTCTACCACCAAGTCATGCCATTGTTTGTCAGCGCTGAATTTCTCCCAAACCTCCAGGACTGCTGGACTCATTGAGACTGTGGCTGCTTCCGGCTTGGTCTGCGCCAAAGTGCTCATGAGTCCAGACAATTTCCGCAAGTAGGGCGACCAGTTCTCTGCGTGCTTGGAGCCTCTCATGTCTCTTTGAACTTGAGCCAGCATTGAATATGCAGAGTGCCCAGCCACCGTGTAACGCACATCACTCTGATCGTGCTTTTCCAGGAAGATCGACATCCAGTCTTGTGCCTGAGGAAATTCCCGACGACAACGTAGATTGGGGTCCGCTCCCCTCTTCACCAGCCATGTGGCAATCTTCACCGTCTCGATCTCCACCTGACCGGAGGTCTTTTCAAAAGGGTAGGTTTTCTTATGACCGATGCTTGTGCGTTGCGCTTGAGGAATTTGTGGTGCGTTCCAGTGGAAGCGGAAAGCGAGCGGTTTGTAGAAACACCAGGAGGCCATGTGAATGATTTCATGGCATCGAGGGCCTGCGTGCCAAAACATGCTAACCTGGACCACACGGCAAAAACAACTCCGGCAGGCAGGGCGAACCAACATGAGACAAGTGCATATAATCGACAAGGGAGTAAAGAATGAAAGAGTTCTGTTCATATGATGCACTTGGATCGTCCCTTAGGCAACCAGTATCCAGTAGAGCGTAGAGCAGAAAACAAACAACAAGAGTAGGAAAGGTACAGAAAGCCAGAAAAACATGAAAACAATAACTATATAGTAAAAAAACAACGGCAACAAAGGCCATAGAAAGCAATAGCCATAGCAATAAAAACAGGGAAACGATACGCCAGAAGAGGACAAGAAGCAGGAAAAGTAAGAAAAGCAGGAAAAAGTAAAACAGCGACACACACAAAAAACACAATAAAAATGCGAGACAAAGCAAAACAAACAAACAAAAAGAAGAAAAGCATAAGAAATCGGCAACAAGAAACAGATCCAACAAACAGCCCCTCTGTTCAAAACTAAAAAGTTACTTTAAATTGTAAATGATGGGAGGTCGCAATGATGGGCGGTCGCACTGGCATACGGTTTTTGTTTACCCCCACTAAATAGTGGGGATTGTTCGTCCATTCCGTCTCTACAGTAAATACATCAGAGAGTTGTTCATTGTTCATCACTACATCCACCCATCTCTGGCGCCTCATCATGGTCCGTCCCCAGAAAGCTGGCGACAGCTGCCTGGAGAGCTGTACAGCCAAGAAGAGGATTATTGGAAGGGTTGAAACAATTGAAGTCAAAGTCCAAGCATTCGAAGGTGCTTTTTAGCCAGGGCAGATCGCTATGTGCAATGGCATCAAACAAAGTGTGAATGCGCTGGTCCTCCATCCCCAGCCGGACGACTTCTTGAGCCAATGGCGTGTGAAAACAGGCGCGTGAATCCTTCACAGCAAGGCGTGACTCAAGTGTCTCCAGATTTCGGGAACTCCGAATCCAGTAATCTTCATCTTTGTTTGGCCCAACGGCAGGATCCAAACCTTGTTTTGGAGCCAAACGATCTTGAATCTGGCCCCGAAAAGGACGGTGGAATCCAAACCCATCAATATGAGCTGTCCAAAACCAAAAGATGCAAGACACTCCCAAGTCACTGCGGATCATCACAACACTCGACCTGGGAGAAGCGTTTTCGAGCTGGTCCCGGACCTGAATGGTGAAGCCCAGCTTGGCATACAAATGCCCAAAGTCCTCCTTCAGCTGACGCTTGTGGAAGATGTAAATATCCTGAGCAGTCCCGGACCCTTGTGGTCAGCGGGCGGGGCGCGCCGCTTTAAAGGTTTTGGTGTTTTAGAGACCTGTTTTGTTGATATGGCTGAGTTAAAAAAGGAACCTTCGTCAACGGAATCAATTGGGTTGCACAGCAACAGTGCTAGTAAACGAACCCCTCCACCCTGCCACCCTGCTCAAATCCACCAACCTTGGCCTCTTGTGGCACACTTTTCTCCGACAAGCCAGATGCTTGCCGATGGTGCAGGAATACCTATCGGAGTTTGCAAGCGCTACGTTGCAGACAGTGCAGCTCGACTCAAAGTGACTTTTCAGGTTGAGTTGGTGACATCTGACATCCTGTAAAACAAAATCCAAGGGTTCAATGGCTTCTGATGGGCATGGCTTACTGCCACAAGCTGCAGCCCGGCTGCCCTCATGCTGAAGCCCTTGGACTTTGGACGTTTCTCAGCTGCTGGAAGTGACCAATCATGAAGACAATACCCAGGCCGAGTCACTCTCATGCAGGCCTCGTGGGCCACGTGGGGCTATGACTGGCACACAACGACCAGCCGCTCTGATGTTCAACGACCGGCCCCCCTGGCATGCCACACCCTTTAGGCCGGTGCACTTGCCAGAATTCTTGAAGCCAATTACCTGCAGAACAATCTTTCTGGACTCGCGCGGGTAGAAAAGAGCTTCAAGTTCACCGGTGAGGGTGAGGTGGAGCCGCCGAATGAGGTTAAGCGAACCAAGCTGGACGAAGCAAAATGCACAGATCCCGGACCCAACGGTCGCTCTGGACCTTTGAAAGGTCATCGTTTGATTCAAGTTCCCCTCTGGTGTCCTGCTAGCTACTAGCAAAGCCTGTCATTGAAGCAGGTGCTTGCTTTGGGCCCTTTGGTGGCTAGCACTCACAATCCGAGCATCCCCCATTTCTACAAGCAGTCTTAAGAGATCTTAAGAGCAACTGGGCGGCACAGAAACCTGTGAAGGAATGTACACTACTCTACTTGATCATGTCTTGTGTCTTCTGCTCCATGCACATCCAGCACTGGCCATCGGCAGTTTCACCTCATGCGAAACTGAAGCCACATGGTGGGCGATGTGTCAAGCATTGAGCTGTCTGACACAGCTGTTGCTAAGCACGTAGCTCTTTCACAGTGTCGGTTATGGCACATCAGCCTCACCACGTTACTTAACGAACTCTTCGTAATGGATGTTATATATCCCACCGATCGGTGTTTCAAACATCTATTGCATAGAGGCTGCAAGAATTTAGGCGGAAAACCTGGCGACCTCGACCGCTTCACCAAGGGAAACCCCGGCCGCTTCACCTCAGCGACCGCGAACATATCACCTCGCTACGACCGCCACAGGTGACTTCAACCGACGGCCCCGCGAGTGCACGCTGCTCCACAGCGATGGTTCACATCGTTGGACAGCGAGCGAAGGCCGAAGGCCAAAGGCGATCAAATGCGCGTTTGTCCTCGGGTTGGTTGAACCTGTTAGAGAAAAGGGAAATCCAACGACATCTAAAAATAACATAATCCTCTGAATCCTGTGCGCTTTCTTGCTGTGCGCTTTTGGGGGCCTGTACTGAAAGGTGAAACAGTGCTTAAATCATTGGAAAGAATGTCTGAAAGCACATCGCTGCGTCCTCTAGGAAGCTCCAGTCGCTACATCTTTTCAGCTGTAGGTACAAATGCTGCACCGGTGCGGCAATGTCTCAGGTGCGGCAATCACTCCAAAAACACAGCACAGGTTCCGGAGAGCGTCTGAGCAACGAAGCCTTTAGATGAAGGCCCGCGCAAGGTCATCTTTTCTTGGAAAAGTATCTTTTTGAAGTTCTCTGGAAGTGAAAATGCTGCCTCTTGGGGGTCATGAAGAAAGCCTTGACTCTGCCATAAGCAGTTTCAACAGCAAAGTCCATCAAAAGCAAGAAGCCGCGGCCGAACTCCAGGAAGCCTGCAGCTGTGAAGAGTGGCTTTGGTCAACGGTCCTCCATCTCCTTGCCAGGCATCCTGCCAGGTAGTATCACTGGAATTGAAGCCTTGCAAGAGCTGCATACTCTAGCGAATCTGAGCTTCAACGCTTCATCTTGAGACAGCGCCGAGCATGCTTCTGGACCTGTGCACAAAAGCACGCGTGCTTTTGGAGCAGCTACTTTTTTTGCCTGGGGGGCGGCAGCTGCACAGTGCGCGGCAGCTTGAGCTTGGCAGCTTATGGTGAGCCCGCCGTGGTTTTAAGGTGTTGACGTAATTTGGGGTGTTCTGATGCCACGGTTTAGGTATGGCTTTCGATGGCGACAAATACTAAGGATCTTCCAATGCCGCAGGAAAGGCAACAAACGAAACACTAAGGCGGCTGGTGATGAAACTTGTCATAATGCATTGTCCAAAAGACACTCCGATTCAATTGAGAGATCCAGATTGGTCACACAAGGCGATGGCGAGTCAGATCTGCCGAATGTCTTGTGACTGCACGGTGACCTTGAGTGTGTGCTTGCCAGATGTCATAAGCGGCCACCATTAAACGTCTGGACAAGACGACCCGCAACTACTGCAGGTTTCGAGAGTGAGCCAGCTGGTCACCACATACCCAGAAAACAACACATCTATGACAGCTACATCCGAGTCCATCTGCCAGCAAGACACCGTGACCTTCGGCAAAACAAATGCATGCAATATCTAACAAGCAGCTAGACTCAGCTAGACTTAGCCAGAACTCAAGGTGAGGCCACCCACACGCATGAGGTCTGGGCCAGCTTGGTGTGTTCCTGTATCCGTGAAATCACTGCAACGATATCAATTTCCAAGGTTGGCAGGTTCCCAACGTTCGCTTACGCGAAACATGGACGGCGCCCCGTCACCTCAGGACGGTTTTTGGACGTTTGGGACGCTTCACAAGCACGCACGCACGGCGCGTACTCTCATACTCAACACACTCGGGTCGCTACGAGCCACCCCAGCTTTCGAGTGCCGGAACTCGGCGAACTCGGAGCTTTCGACCGCCGGAGCTCGCCACGAGTGAGGGCGACGAGAGATGACCACGAGACACCGAAAGCGAATCGGTGTGTAGCGACCTCATAGGGAGACCTCCCAGTACGACGCCACTGTGTCTGCCCTTTAAAGAAGCCTGGTGCACCGAAAAAAGCACCCAGAGCTGAGTGCTCGGAATCGCTCAGAATCCGAGCGCTCCGTCCCAGTCGCCCTTCGACGTCAGCGGCTCCCAGGCGGTCTGCAGCTGCTCGGTCAGCGGCTTCGGCATCGGGCACCAATGGGTTCTGGCGTTCTGCGCCCCGTCACGCCGATCGAAGCGGTCAGGGCGATCGAAGTGGCCTCAGACAGGAAAGAAAAAGGGCAACTGCCTGCCGTGAGTCATATGATATATGGTCACTCATGGTCTGTACCCAGACCTGCGTTTTCCGGCGGACTACAGTGCTGGGTCAGCTCAAGCGACAACATGGGGACCGTGCGTCCCTAAAGGAGAAAGAAGGGTAAAAGGTGCTACAAGCAGTCATCTTCTCAAGCTATAAACACTCAGCGGAGATCAACAAACTCGCTATGCTGTTTGAGGTGCCTTAAAGCTAAAAGAAAGGCTAAGCTAAAGTACCAGCTCACCAAAAATCTTCAAGGACTGGGACAAAACCAAGCCCTAACCTTTTGGAACAAGCCTTCAAAGACTTTTGGGCATAGTCGAAGCAATCTGCAGTGCCCATGCGAGCTGGCTTTTTGAGGACAAACGTCATTCTGAAGGGGCTACAAGTCTAGCTAGCAGCCAGCTCAACTACCACATCTGATTTGAGGTCGTTTGATCTCAAGGGCTCTTTTTTCGCATGACTGCTACAACAGGTGACTGGCTTGCGGTCGTTATACGCTCTGCAACAAAACATTGAACCTGTCAATCATTTGGTCACTGGGCAAGCCTAAAAATAACTTCAAGCAAAGATTCAGGCAAGAACATAGGTTTAAAAAAATGTTTGGCTTATTGCGGCTAGACTGACCACACGGGCGACGGCAAAAGACCTGGTAGACAAACGATTTATGACAACTTGAGATGAGGTACTTGGACTCTGATAATAGCGATGGCAATGGCCTCCAACCTACTTACGATGGCCTCCACCCTAAGTAGCGATGGCCTCCACCCTAAGAGGTCACCCCTACACCACAAGAAGATACAAGAAGCACATCAAGAAAGAGACACTCTGCATCACTCTTCGGGACACTTCGCTCTGCTTTCCTTCGATCGCAAAGACATGCGATGTGAATGTGCTCACACTGTGACAATCCAGCCACGTCCACCGGATTGGAATCGGTCAGGCGTATGCATCCACACCTCTTTCCTCCTTTGATTTCGTCTAGCGCGAAGCGAAACCTACCCGAAGCAAAGACCGGCTCGAAGGCCATCTGTCCAGCGATCATTCTCAAGCCTGTGGTGTTGTTGCGCCAGCGCCATGCATGTGGGCCGTGTATGGGAAGAGTTTTGCGCGTCAATCTAAGAAAGTGATTCAACCAAAAGAAAACCAATATCGGGTGGGCTGTCATGTTAGCTTCCGAGCAAGTCAGGCTCTTCACAGCTTCAAAAATAGTTGGGAATAGCGAGCGGCGAGCATTTTCTCACATTGTCTCGCAAGGGTTCAGGAGCCCACAGCAAAGTATGTGTTTTGTTGTCTTTCTTGTCCTTGTCCTTGAGCAAATAAACAAAGAAGTGTCCGTCCCCAAGCCGTGGCTTTCACTTACTGGTTTGCTTGCTGGTTCGTTGCTTCGTGTCACATGAATCGACGTTCGCTTGACAAGGCCTTATGGATCGACGGTTCGCACGCAGATGTCTGACCCCATCAAAACGGGTATCAATCAACATGTATCGACATCAACTACAGGGCTTCCATGTTTCCATGTCTTTGCCAGCAC